TGGAGCGAAAATACTTTCAAATTAGTAATAAACTTTTCTCCAAATTAAAAGTAAGTTAGTAGTTAGTGGCGTGGCGTGCTTTGTGAAATATCGATTGATCTACCATTTAAACCTAGGGTAAAGAATCAATTATTAAGGTGATCGCTGCGAACACCCTGATTATCGATCCTTTTCCATAGGTTTAAATGGCATAACAATCGATATATCGCAAAGCACGCCACGACACTGCCCCTCATATTGTCGTTTCCCCGACGTAGGAACGTAACTCAATTCCAAGGTTGCAAAACTGATGATAAAAATTCAATGTCTCACAAAAATATGGAATTTTTTTCAAGATTTTCCTGATTTTCACACGAAACTAGAGGAAAAATCGGTGTAATTTCCAGTCAGAAATGCCCAAGATTCTCCTCGTTAAAATGCAATTTGTGGGGGGGGGGGGGGGAATTCGACGACATTGGAATGTAATTACAATCGTTCGTAAGATACATACGACTACATTTCAAGATTACTTTTGATGCCTTGATTTCCCCCGCTCCCCTCTCCGTTTTTTCAAGATCTCCGAATGCGTTTTCACCCTGTCCCGGCATCATCATGGAAATCATCATCCACAAAAGTAAACGTTCAGAATTCCGATTGTACCGAAGCACCGAATCGACCAGCCAAGTCCAGGGTGGCAAAATTTCATGAATTTTTTTTTTTTTGAAATTTCACGTGAAATATTTCATGAAATTTCAGAAATTTATGAAAAATATTGAAAAATACCGGTTTCTCTTCATGTTTCGCATATTGTTAAAATTGTGACTTATTTCTATTTTTGCGTCTTTGAGTGCGAGTTGCATACTCTAGCCCCCGAAAAATATGAAATATTTCATATCCTCGTGAAATTTCATGAAATATTTAATTGAAATTTCCAATATTTCATTTCTATCTTACAGTGTTCGAAACTCACCTTCGAGTTTTGGGAGCCATGTGGCGCATCAAGCCCGATTTTTAGGCGCCATTGAAGATTTTTTAGGGGACAAATTGACTTTTTGCCTACATTTTACGGCGCATTTAGTGAAAAGTTAGACGCAAGATGTTTTCGTAACAGAACTGCTAAGTAGCTGTAACTTGGGGAAGACAAAAGCACTAAGGATGAAATCGTAAAGAATAGAAAAAGCCTCACTTGTAGTGCCAGAAATTTCGAATAATCACCTAATATGAAAATTCAGATATTTAAGGGGCAATTTTTTGGGGCCACGTTGGCGCAGATTCTTAATTTTTTAGGCGCCATGGCCGATTTTTTAGGTGCATTTGGCGCGTTGGCGCCTGTAAGTTTCGAATCACCTTCAACCTGCGAACTCGAATATATCCCAAAACCGACGCGTCCCCAAAAACTCGCACCGCGGGAATCGAACCAGGCGACCACACGAGTCTTCTAAACCCACATCATCATGCGCCCCCCGCCCCCTTCAAGTGGCCTCGGCTTTAATTTTTAATTAAAATATTCCGTCAACGGCAACGAAGGCGACGCGACGTGAAGCAACGGCGGGATTCCGTCGAGATTACTCCACTCGGATGACTTCGACTCTGTATCCGATGTCTCACGACGCGGCGGTCACCCGGGTGTGCATCGGTGCCCCCCGATTCTGGATTCGGGGCCCCTCCTGTCGACCGCTTATCGGGAATTTCGGGGGCTCCGTATCACGGCGCGACGCGGCGGCCGAGACGTATAACCTCCTCGGCGCAGCGCCCGCTGTCGACTGTCTTGGAAGTAATGCGATCTGCGCTGGATCTTCTGTACGCTCGAGAGCACCACAACTATCTTTTGACCGTTTAACATACCTCAGGGTCCTCGGGGTATAGTACTCGACCACTGCGCAGTGGCTTTAAAGGAAATACTGCCGTTCTAAGGATCCGAAACGGCGAAAAACGCCGTATGAACCTTCAGGCGTTGCCAAATGGAGATGTCACATATGTGAGGAATTTGCGATTTGAGTGTTGATTCTTCTGTAAAAGTTTGCGAGAAACACGATAGTGCCACTGGTTTTCTCTAAAATCATCTCCCAAGCTCAAAAAAAGCTCTCGAGTTGAGGCCAAAATGGAGGGGATATCCCACGCTATCCTGAAAGTTTACCTCTACATCAAGAGAAGCTCTCCATGCGAAGGTAGGGAACAAATTATTAGCAGGGTTGCCGTGTTTTCAGTTCTGGAGTCCCCAAATAAAGTGGCAGCCCTGTCAATGTATTTGCTTTCTATCTTTGCATGGAGAGTTTGTCTTGATGTAGAGGTGGACTCTCGGGATAGCGTGGGATATCTCCTCCATATTGGCCTCAATTTAAGAGCTTTTTTGAGCTTGGGAGTTGATTTCAGAGAAAACCAGTGGCACCATCGTGTTTCTCGCGAACTTTTCAGTAGAGTCAACAGTTAAATCGCAAATTCCTGACACACGCAGCATCTCCATCGGCGTATATTTTAGAGTAAAACGCGTACAAAAACTGTCTGAAAATGTTGGAAAAAAATATTCACAATTTTCCCAGTAAATTCAGTTTTTATCGAAGAAAACTTGGCAACGTCTGAAGGCTCCTACGGCGTTCTTCTTTAACACGGCAGCACTGCGCAGTGGCTATAAGGGAAATAAGTGGATTAAATTTGGTGCGCGCATGCGTGGAAACGTGCTTGTCTCATTGTCGACATTTAGGGGTGAGATTCTTCACTGAGAAATTGAAATGGTTAAATATACCGATCACAAGTTCGTTATTCAACTCGTCGTCTTAAAATCCTTAAACTGAAGGGTATAGATTCGATCGACACGAATTGATCGGAAAATGAAAACATGATTCTATCGACGTGAACCGATCGACGCAGATTTGATCGATAAATTTTTGAAAAACCAGTGCGTCGATTCGATCGATATGAATCGATTGAAAAATAACAACGGGAACTGATCGACGTGATTCGATCGACAACCGTGATCGACAAACCCCTGAATCGATCGAATTTTATCGATTGAATCAGTGTTGATCGATTCATGTCGATCAAATCCATACACTCAATTTAATCTTATTCGAGTTAAATGAAAACTTAAATTAAAACATACTTAATGTTTTAATTTTAGAGGCACCTCTCGTGTGCATCTTCCTTGAAGTTCCATTCGGAAAATCGAAAATCAATTAAAATTGCTAAAACACATTCTGGAAAGCATTTCCTTTCACTCTGTCACACTACTGTTATCACTAAGTCACGCTGAGTGAAGTCGGCTCTTATACATCCCATCGAGGAATCGTGACATCTGAGAGTGATACAACTATTCGACCACCTGGGAGCTCGTGTTGCCTACACTAAAAACTGAAGGAAAACTGACAGAGAGCTCTAGTCACCGCTCAACATTCGTTGAGGACTATTCCCGCTGCTTACTTTCTTGAGCAATCGTCACATCATGCCCTTGACCCAACCTCATCGAACCTAACCGCACCTAAATATTTATAATCTGACCTATCTTACCCAATCTAAAATCGAAATATACCTGCCCTAACTTAACCTGAACTAATGTATTCTGGCCCAGTCTGAATCAGTGTGGATGGAGGTCGAAGTTGGTTTTCCAATTTTTCCGAAGAAGTAGTGAGCACATGAGCAGTGTCAATACTTGTTGATGTAATATTCGGCTCCTGAAGACGTTAAATCGACGTTTAGGTTGACGTAGAGCTACATCAGCTGTCCTGAAAAACAAATTCATCATTGAAAATGTGGTGCGGCTCTGCAAAATCCGCGAAAAACATCAATACTTTCAAACTTCAAACTTTCTTTTTCAGGAGATTGTATGCAAGTCAAAACAAATTTACAAATATCCTGAGCTCCCTTTGGCGGAGAAGAATTTGACCGCATTTTGCAAGTTGGAACTACACTTCTTGGCTCGGTTTAAAACAACCCATGTGCGATTACTTTCTCTATGGACTAAAGTACTTTTACGGATGATGCAGAAATTGTAGTTCCTAATTATAGATTGTAGACCAACTGGATTGCATTTTGCAAAAAGTAACCAGAAGGAATCCAATGATGCTAAGATTGTGCATTTTCATCCTTTGCAATAAAATTACTTGAATCATGAAAAATATGAAATTTACATGGTAATTTTTGTCTTAAATTTACAGGTTATAGCGAGTAAGATAGAAACTGTCAATAGATGATCAGGTTTTTCTTCACTGAAAAAAAATTCTCGGCGTTTTTACCACGGTCCGTTGGTACCTTTACCATCTCACTTTTTTTTACCACTTATTGGTAATTTTACCAAGACAGACTGGTAAGCTTACCTAAAAACCGGTATTTTTACTGTTTTTTTCAGGTAAGAATACCACTTTTATTGGTAATCAATTCCCGGTAACGTTGCCATTTTATCTCGATAATTCTACCACAGTTGATAAAAATTATGGGCGTTTTTACCAAGGTCCGGTAAAATTACCGAGAAAGTTCAATAATTTTACCAAGATTTCTCGGTAAAATTACCAATTTCGTAAATGGTAATTTTACCAAGAAAAAACTGGGATCAAAGAGAACCCTGAATTCTTGGTAATTTTACCAATATCTTAATAAATACACCGAGATTTTTCTTTTCAGTGTTCCAAGACAAAAGGAGTCGCACAATCTTTGCAACATTCCAATGCTCCTGGTTCCTTTTTGCAAAATGCAATCCAACTAATCTCAGTAACTTCAGCTCTAATCACTTCAAAAACCAAAGGAATTGATGCCGTCAGCCCCCCAAGTTCCGCAATTTTGCAACATGCAAATATCTTCCGCCCTCTGGAAACCCGGACGGATAACGTGATGAAATCCGCCTATCCGCGAAAAATCGCGCTCGGGGGAAATGAACCGACTTCGATTGGTGACTCCACATGTCAACTCTTCAGCCCCCCCCCCCTTTCGGCGATCGGATCTGCGCGCAGACCGTTCTCATCCGCACCTAGGCGGGCGGGTGGTTGCACCGCGCGCCGCGCTGTTTCGAATTCAGTAACCGCAGCGCGTTGTCGACGGTTGGACGTGTGTCGGTCCCGCTCAGAAATACGCAAGTTCCACGCGATCTGTCCAGACACCTCGCCGGCTTCGGAATTGCGTTTCTCTCTGGATTTTGATTTTGCGACACACGGATTTAGTGAACCTCACCACGTGCTTTAATCGTATTCACTGCCTTGATTATATTCGGTGTGCTCTCATCATTTACGGGTGTGTTAGTTTATTGCTCGTGATATTTCGACATTAATCGAGTTTTTATGAGCCTTGACGTACATGATGCGATTTGTTTGAGATCTGTCCATTCGTTTTAAATTTCATTTCGAGTGACGATTCTTTCGTTTGTGGCTTGATCAACTTTTTGTTCCGATTATCTCACCCTGTCCGCGAAAATATCAAGCTAGGTACCAATTCCGTTGAATTTTATCGCGATTTTATTTACTCACTTCTTGAAGGCCCATCACTATAATATTGTGTCTTTTTATGCTCTTGATCGCGGAACATTTATAGGATGTCTTATGACTCAGTGCGCAACAATTCGTGAGTTTCTTTTAGTTTGCAGCCGCAATTATTTTCCAAAGGAATAGATATATCGGCAGATTTACTCAATCTGAATTTTCAGCTTAAGGAAGTGTTAATGTTTCGCCAAAATGTACCTACTATCATGTGTTTTAAAGTATCAGTGACAAGTTAAACCAGATTCATGTTTGACACATTTTTCAGCGCTATCAGTGATCGCGTCGGCAAAAAAAATTTGCCTAGATAGCAGTGATTTTCGTGTTATGAGGTTTGTTCGGCGGAGAAAGGAGATCAAAAGAATTACCGTCCGTTCCTCTGTTTGTTATTCCTAGTGCGTCCTTTGCAGCTGATCATGGAGTTGTCAGAATTTATCGTAAGGATTACTTTCATCTTCTGCTGCAGCATACTTAAAGGTAAGCTCCAGTCACTTTGAAGTTTAGTACTGCGAACGTGATCTTATTTGCGTTTCATTTTAATTATCACTGTTTATTTCCCAGGTTTATTGTCATTTATGAAAATTGTGAACATTCTCAAGGCATGCATTGCTGATTGGGGCGTATTTTAGAAAATAATGTTTGCTTGACGAAGGATCGATGTTTGTTGATTCAATCGGATTTAAGCTTAAATCAAGAACCAAGTCTCTTAATTTGAGCAAATTTCCTTTTGATTTAAGCTTAAATCTGATTGAATCAAGAGTCCTTTTTCTTGTCAATGTTTTCAAGAGTCTGGACTCTAGATCCAATGTGTTTTTTTTTTTTTTCCAGTGTGTATTAAAGTTAAACTGAGGCGTTTTTAGGGCTAACAATGTTTGGCAGGAGAGATAGATAAAAGACAAGTGCTTACATTTAGTTACAGGGTAGGTATTTGTACCTCCCTTATTAGCCTTAGCGCAGAGTCATCATGCTAAGGCAATGTCAATCTCCGATTAACTCTGAATCAGCCCCTCTCAACAGGTTGATACATGCAGTCAGATGAACGGTGACATTAACAAATCTCGACTTATTATGTCTCAACATACGATAGATGACTCTGCTCTAAATTTGAGATCTTCTGTTTTGAGAAAGCCAAGTAGGTAACTAAGTATTTACTTTACTTATTGACGATTTTCAAAATTGACGCTGAAACTGCTAAACCACGTATCTCGCATTAGTGACGTTTCAAATCTCTCGTCTCATTTTATCTTTTTACAAAGAAGGCGGTGCAGTGGCTCTTGCATAAAATCTCGTGTTCTTTTTCTTCGTTGTCAAGAAAATTCTCTCCAGAAAGTTTGCACGAAAATGTCACGCAGTATCCCTCCGAAAAAATAAAATGTAATCGAAACTGATTATCAAACGTCGCAATCGACGTCTGTGGTTTGGTATTTTGGTCATCACTTACACACGCGAATGATTCCTCGTGAGTGTTGCAGTTTCAGCACTTCGACAAGGGCAAGTTTTTTTTTTCATACCCCCCCCCCCCTCTTGTTCATTCAAATGGTTCTTGGGTGACCAAAATGCCTTCTGATTAAACTTACATTATTGCATTCCTTTGTTTATTCTGTGCTCCGTCTCCAGAGCGTTGTCTTACGCCTGTCATTTTCATCTTCCAGTTATTTTTTCCTCAAATAAAGCCACAAAAATGCCTACTTTATTCGATCTGGACGGTATTCCTACTCCCACACTGCTCTCTCGGCAAACCAGAAAAATTCTTTCGCTCGCATGAATTCATAAATTTTGCAACTTGAGACACTTAAGTGAATGTGTCCGACCCTCGTTCAATTTTTTGTATCATATTAGTACGAATGCCAACAAACCCGTTTTGAGAATCACTTCAAGCTGTAAGAGCTGAACATATTAAGTCTTAATAACCGTTTTTCCGCACTCAATTTTAAGTCATTTGTGCCTCATCTTTAACAGCTATTAGCAAGCAAGCAAATAAATAATGAAGCGTCGAGAGAAAAGTGAGAAATTTTGATTTTAAGAATTTGTTTTTATTCCACCGAGGCCAAAGGAATGGTTATATTTTGGACATTCTTACGCTTTCATACACCCATATTCTTTCAGAAACAAGCCTTTTATCATCCAAAATGTTAAGGTTTACCATCATGAATTCGGGAGTTGGTAGAAGTTTATTGAACCTGTAACCGTAAATTACTTAATAAGTTTGCGTTGAATCCTTTCGATTCCAATTTTTGCCAAAACAACACGATCAGTACCTACAATCGAAGATCTTTGGAAGTTAGTAGAATTCCGGGAAACATTGAAGCTGCAGGTTCAAATTCAGTTATATAATAATAATATAATAATATGTTTATTTCACTTCAGATTACATGAATAGCACAGCCAGTTATATCAAAATTTCATAACAAAATTAAAATGAATCATCCCACCACCCTATAAGTAGGAACTTGTGGCGGGTGGTGCAACTAGGGAAAACACACTACCATATAATATTTACCATTATACCATATAAATTTTTTTTTCATGCCTCTAAGTGGTTCCTTTTTTGCCGGGACGCCTCAGCACTCCTATGTAAACTCGATGTAGATTGACAGTTTATTATATTTACAAGAGCATAGAAATATTATTTCAAGTATAATTCCTAATTTTATGTGTTGTCAGCGATTTTTATTTTCGCGGGAGGGTACCCTAAGACGGTTTAAGACCTGAAATATTTTAATCGTGGAAATACCTGACCGCAAAGGGCATCTGAGCACCCGATCAAGGAAGCGCGACATTCCTAACCGCTTTTCACGCCTTCCAGCCACCACGGGGAGGAAGAACACTGTCGCGCTGAGGAAGAACGCCGTATGGGCCTTCATGCGTTGCCAAATGTCCTTTGATAAATCACGAATTTTCGGAAAAATTTGCAAACATTTTTCCTCCAATTTTACAGAGAATTTCGTTCGTAATTTGATCTAAAATTCGTGCAAATTTTAAGGAGAAATATTCACAACTTTCTTCAAAAATAGATATTTTCTGAGAGGAAATTTGACAACGCCTGCAGGCTCATACGGCGTTCTTCCTTAGCATGGCAGAACAGAGGTTATTTTATAGCCTTTCTCCCTCTGATTTCGGCCCTGTCCCCAACGATCGGGTTGAAAACGAGGAGAAGAAGCCAGACTCTGACACGACCACGTGAATTTCAATAAAATACCGATTTTAACGCAGGGAAGGTAACGAACGATATGATTAGCATAAATTGTGGTTGTGGCTATCGCGTCGGACGGAGAGTCCAAACAGGCGCTCATAAACCTCATGAAAAACGGGACGGAGAGTAACTCCGTATCAATTAAGTCATCTCCTTTTTTTGATGGCTCATTTCTCCCAGTGGCGCGAATGATCGATCGTCGATATTTCCCCATTTTAAGCTGTGGTAAAGAATCGATTTTTAAGGTACACCCTGTATATCGATCTTTTTCCGTAGGTTTAAACGGCAGAGGAATCGATGAATCGCACAGCACGCCACGCCACTGATTCCTCCTACTCTTACTTTCCCTATAAATCTTGCTCCGCTGGTATCTATTATCCACGTAGGCCGAGCCGAAAAAAATAAATAACAATGAAGAAAAAAGTTTCATCCCCCAACCCTAGTCGGATGATAGTCCCGGACAAAAGGTGGGTTCACAAGGCCGTTGTGTATCGTCGCGCAGTGGTTGATATTTTCGTTCTTCAAGGTGAACCCTAAAGCATTTTGAAAGAGGTGTCTCTTTTTGAAAGTGTTAATGGTTTTGTACCAGATTACAGTATTCAAAAGCCAAGACTGACGAAATCGCACTCAGCAAATTATTCTTTCAGGGTTGTCATTGATATTTTGTTATATATATGAGTCGCTTTTACAGCGCTCTTTGGCGCTTTACGACGCCTAATCGCCACAAAGCTCGATCTTCCCACAGGTCATCAAGGAGTTGACAATCTCTTATCTCGTTTAACACCCCCTGTCGCCAACCTCTCACTGATATTTTGTTTTATTAACCGATAACTTTTTCGTAAGAGCACATTAATCGCATGTCTTTACCTTTTTGCCGGCGTCTCCCTCAAGTAACCACCGTGAAGAATCTGAAAATCGTTAAAAAAAGAAAATGTCAAAATTAACCAGTTAGATATAGCTCGGTCCTATATCTTTTTTCTTAAAATATTAATTTTTTTTGTTGCAATTGTTTTTTTTATCTCTTTTATCACCTCATAATTTCGTTTCAAAAAATAAAAATGCAAGTATAAGTATTAGCTTTTTATTTATTTATTTATTATTATTATTTTTTAAGAAAAGTTGACGTTACTTCCAGTTTTCATATGATAAAAATCCAAACTCCAAAATTGCCACCATAAAACTCGATATCTGTCCATTGGATTTGACGTCTAGTGAAAAAATGTTTAAGCGTCGAAAAGAGAGAAATAATCCGAAGAAAAAAGAAAACTTTACTCAGAGGAGCTCAACTTTTGTCATAACATGACGAGCGAAACCAAAACTTAACAGAATAACTTCATTTCCTCAAGCTTCAGGACCTTAAGTTATCAAGGACGAATGCAGAAAATGAAAAAACCGCAGGCGTTGTAAGTCCTGTAACCAGGGGGAAAAAACTGAGGGAACAGGGAAGATGCCCCCTGTGCGTCGTTAATCCGGAGGCTCAGTTTCGAGTTTTCGATTTAATGCCCAGCCACAGCGCTGTTACGTGTGTGCGTGTACACGCTTTTGTGAGGGTGTGCGTGTCTATGCTCAGCGGCGTAGAAAGACCTGCCTTAACGCAATAGATAACTACGGGATAAAGGCAACTATTTTTTGTCGCTAGCTCGCCTCAGCCGGCCCTGATATCTTAATTCTGTTTAACGTCTCAGGAGCCGGGAATAAAATTCTCCGTGCTCACCCTTGCTGAAGGAATCACTTAACCCCTCTCCTTCTGGACGCACAGTTCCGGAGAGATGTCAGCTTTGATTTTCCCAGGATGTGGAAAAATATTTCGGTCCTTCCCCGCGGCCCCCTTTTTTGTCTCCCGATTATTATTTCTACCGCGTTTAACTCGTTCCCCGTGAATATGGAATCTTCGTCTCCAAAGATCATGGAGGACGTGATGTGGAATGAAGTAATAATCCAAATAAGGGGTCGTTCGTAAACGACGTCAGCGGGCTGATTGTTGAAATCGATAGATAAAGCTGTAGACATAGAAGTATGGAGCGATCCTATCGGTTGAAATAGGTGGTTCTTATAGAATAAAGGTCGTGAGACACGGCTGTTTCTTCGTACGTGTTTTGGAAGCACTTAAAATTAGCTATCGTAAATGCTTACAGTTGATCCTCGGCACTCAAAGTCGCTGCTACCTACTTTACATATATATCAAACTATTGATGACTTCATTAGGTAAAATTTCATGTAACAGATGTTGCATGAAAGATACACTTACAAATAGAGCAACTTCAAGTTTTCAATCGAAATAATT